CATTTTTTCCCTACCTATATTATTATTTAGATAATTCTTTATATGGATGTTTCTCTCTTGTTCAGAGATGTTTTTGCTAGTATTGACCAAAATTTGGATGCTCCAATCCCCTTAAGAAACTTTATTTATTGGGTTACCCATACACTTTGCGTGTTTCTAGCGATTCACCTGACATTATCACATGATACAAGTCTTGGATACTACAACGCAAATAGAACCATTGCGGCACCCATCAACGGGGCCGTTCCCCACCCCCGAGCTACTTTACCATATTCTGAATTCAATGGTTTTAATAAACCCCTTCAATAGTTCCTCTTGAGACAAATCCTGGAATTCCGCCTACTTTCTGGGTTTGGAAAAGCGTGGATGTTCGATAACGATAATGCAAATTGACTTTTTTTTTTTTCAAAAGGAACTTTCATGAACTATAACTTTTTCATGTTAGTTCTCTTCTTCATAGTCTTTCCAAAATGACTCGACCCCATTGCAAAATCCCATTGAACAGGGCCCGTCGAGACAAGCAAATAGAAAGCCTCGGGGCCGCCATAGTCTAGGAGTCCCAATTATGTGAGCCAATACCTCTCCTTATGCACATAAGGGAGGAGTTGTACGAGGTGCAAATCTCACGTACAGTTCTAAAATGGAGATTCATTTAATTGGATTGTGACCGTAATGGATGCCAACCCAATATGAAGGAAATTAAGCGGATTGTTCGTCGTTGTAGAAAATAAACAAGAAAATCAAATTTCTTTCTTCGTCTTTCCAAAAAAAGTATTGGACTATAGAAGGGCACAAAAATTCAAAAAATTTTTTTCTTCTTCCTTGTCTATAAAAATCCACATTTTGATGCCTAATACCTCAAAAATAGTCCGCACTGTATATGAACAATAATCAAGTTTTGCTCGAATCGTTTGTAGGGGAACCCTCCCCTCTCTAGGGTCAAGCTCTTCTATCTGGCTTATGCTTTCTCTTAGCTATATGGTTTATACGAGGAGGAGATTGAGCTTTAAGAATAGTGAATGGTCTTATCAATTCATAAATGTTTTAACTCCCCTGGAATTTCAATTGCGTTCATATTCTATAACCTTCATTATTCATTTTATGCGGTTTCTATGATCAAATTAGAAGTTACCAAGAACCTATGGGGTCACTTCTGTAACTAAATAACCAACACTGAAAATCGTCTTTATATTGAATGGTTTGGTGTTTTAATGAACCATACCTTATTATCAACATAGAGGCTAGCATATAGCATCGAACTTGGATATTGTCATCAAAATGAAGTCACTCTCTCCACACTTTTGATGTCTTATCAGCAAGAGGACGAAGAGGGGAGGGGCTTTATCAAGCACATATTTTCTCATCTTAGATTGAATGACAATTTTCATGTTTCTTAAAGTCTATCAACAAATTTGGGCCACTTAATCTGTTTTGCTCTTAGAGTAGAAACAATTGAATTTTTAGTCATTTTAGTATAGTGATTTGCAAAAATAAAGAAGTAAAAAATGAATAAATTGTAGAAAAAATATCGAGGTCTAATATAAAATGTCTTTCACTATTTTAATTAGACTTCTTTAAATTTTGAAAATCTATTTTTTCTTAGTAGCTTGAAGTCTGATAAAAGTATTTCATATCACTTTAATGAGACCCATGAAAAAAATTTTATAGTAGTCAACTTTTGACAATTGCCTCGCTACACAACCTTCATGATTAGTTTGTCAATCTCAACCTTCATGATTAGTTTGTCAATCTCAACCTTCATGATTAGTTTGCCAATCTCTTTTGATATACCCAGTTTTATACAGTACCAATATGATGACTGTATATGGAATGAAATATGAATGGAATGGTTATTCCTAATACATGAAGCCAACACTTTAATTTCAAGAAACCACTAATCATGATAACACCTAACAACGAAACATGATTTTATATTACGGAGTGAAATAGGGAATAAACATTTACTTTTATAAGTCTGCATTCAAAATTCTTTCCACAAATAATTTCATGATCAAATTTGATATAGCCATACTACGTTAGGCCGGTCTAAGTGCCAGTTGCTCGATAGGTCTATGAGACGAGTAATTCCTGAAAGGTCGTCATCTTCGGGTCGACTTCACCAAGTCGATTTTCTTCACGACATCGCGTTAGAAGGAAGGCGATGCCCTATATTCAGAACCCCGAAGTCGACATGCTTAAGTCGACTTCTATAAACCATCTAAATCAAGATTGGATGATCTCGATGTCGACTCATGTCGCTAAGAACACTGAGTAAGTTTCAAGGATAGATCATGGAGCCTCATGATACTGTCATTATCTTTAAGTCGACCTCCAACCACTCGAGGCCGATTCTTTATACCTCGAGATAGAGAGTAGACGACGATTCGAGGTATATGTTCAAATCTGTTTGCAAGGTAAACAAGAATCATCATTGGATAAGATGGAATCTTAAGCTAACTCAGGTTTGACCAAGAGGTGATTAGGACATCAGCAAATCGGGTGAACAGACCGGTCGACCAGGGCATTCCAAGTATTTCAAGTAGGTATTCTCTGCTATATAAAGGGATCAAGGTAACCCCAAACCCCAAATGATTTAATAGCTATATTTTCATTTCAAGTACAATTTTTCTATTATAAATCCATATTCAGCATGCTATCGTCAATGTCTTTAAATTACAAACTATGAAAAAATCTAGAAAATTCATCGTCTTAAAGTATTGAGTAATATGCTGGCCACAGATAAATCTACATATACATGAACCAGTACACAATATATCCCTTTTGCGGTTGTCTAACAATTAAAGGATGAATCTAAATAAAACATAATGCACAAAAGATTAGTATTGTGCATCAAGTAAAAGGATTAATCACGTACTATTGCATAAGTTAAACCTTCCCGTTAAGAATTTTCACCCGATCATGTTTAATGAACTTGTTTTCCAACAGGCATCAACATATAAGAGTTTTGTGTATGTTAATGTTAATAGAATGCAACATCCTCCTCTAACGAAGATGTGGTGCACAAGTCTTACCAGGGTTATTTAATATTCTATCTTGATGTATCATCTACTTGGAACTTATTTACAATCATAGCTTTAATATGTTCCATGATTGCAACCATATAAGCAACCAAGCCTATTAGACAATAATGATCTAAGGACATAATCATACGCGCGCACGTAGAAAAGAAATGCATAAACAAGATAACTAATGTCTAAATGTAATATAATTCCAATGGATTATCTTTATAAGTATAAAAAGATCCCAACAGAGCTGGACATTCTACTTACAATTGGAAAAAGATGTAAAGAAAATCAAGCAACGCTGTCGTTCTGGTTGAACAAAAACCGTGCTCGACACCAGCTTCATTAGTAAAAAGATTTGCCCGCATCATCCAACTCTTTTCTTGCTCGAGATAACTGTTACGAACAAAGAAAAGATCTTTGGTTAATGCAACGACTCAGAAACTTCTGTATCACATTTCTTATGTGTACAAATCCAATAAAAATCAGCAACTCATATTAAAAATCGTTGGGGAAGCATAAACAACCATAAGCATAATTCAAGATTTCACATTATCATTTTAATCATTCATTATTATTTTTACAAGTCAGATATATCCATATAAGCATAGAATCAAACCTGTAAATATTTCTCAAACTTAAAACAACCCATTCTGTATCTACATATTGAAAACAAAGGGTAACCTGATTTTCCCTTCTACGGCACAAACCGCCACAGGTCCACAGCCACATCGACCTCCTTCTTCTTGTGAAACTTATAAAGCCTGGGCACATCAAACCTGAGCTCACACACCACCTCAGCCCGACTAGCACCAAACTCCCCCAAAGCCCTTCTCCTCACGTGCTCCCTAGTCGAAGTCTTGTGCAAAGAATAAACCGCACGCGATGCAACCTTTAAAGCCACGCCCAAAAAATCCATATCAGCCCCTTTTCTTCTCGTCCCAAACGGTGGGTTCATCACAACCGTGTCGACACACCCCGGGACGGGCGGCCGCCAGCTGAGGACATTGCACTGGACAAAATCCATGTCGATTTCGAGCTCGTCCGCGTTGGCAGATGCGGTTTGGATAGCGTCTGGGTCGATATCGAGGCCGAGGACATGGTCGGCTCCCAGGAGACCCGCGGCTAGGCCGAGAGTGCCGCAGCCACAGCCCAAGTCGGCGACAATCTTGTTTGCGAGGTCGCCATACGAATTTTCGGCCGTGTATAGCATTCGAGATGCGATGTGGGCACCGGTCGGGTACTGCTCGAGTTCCACGTCTGGGGACTCGAACTGGTGGAGGGAGCCGAGGAGGGTCTCCAGCTGCTTCAGCTTCATCGCTGGTTGAGGATTAGTTGTGAATCAAACGACTTGTACCCGCCCACTCAAAATTTTCCAATTGCGGTCTCTCTAGGTGTGCAAGCAATTACAATATGTCTACATAACCAGTGTAATCAACCCAGAAAAGGCGTACAGAGGATTTAGTAAGATCAAACAAACCTGGAAAAAGATGAAAACAATAAAATGAATCCAACGACAAAGCTTGCATACTGACACTGAAGGGAAAATTCGAACAAATTATAGAAACCAGAGGAAGTAACAAAAATCTAGGAACAGTCGAGCCAAGTTAATCAAAGTGAAGAATGAATGGCTGACCTGAAGCGGCTGTCTGCGGCAGGAGAAGAGTGCGGAGAGTTCGTCTTTGTGTGGTGTATGCGACTTGTGAGAGCATTTACAGAGTTAGGGCACACTAAAGAAGTTCGTTAATAAAAGTTTACGGTTTTTTTTTTTTTTTTAATTAGTAGGAATCCCGTGCGATTTGTGAGAGACATTTAATAATATTTAAAAACTAAATTTATTATTAAATAATATTTATAAATTAGAAATATAAATACAATTTACCTCTATTGATTTATTGAAAATGTTATATGAAATTTAAAATGTGCAAAATTACATAAATCATGTCTATTTAAAATTAGTACACAACCCGTAAGGTGCATGTAACTGATAATTATTACTTTATATTCATTTCAAAATAAATAAGTGTCATTCTAAAATTTTTGTTTAGAAATTCAGTTCGACTATAATGTGATTTCATAAAATAAATATTTTATTAAACAGTTATCATATATTCAAAATCTATGAATAATAAGTATAATTATAAAACTTATTTTTTGTTAATTAAAATGAGTTTATTTTTTTTTATAAATATCGAAATCAAATAATTCAAGTAGTTGGGTAATTTATTAAACTATAAATATTTGAATATTACATTTACGTCCAAGTTAATATTAACTCGTAAGTTATGAACAATTACTTATTTGACTTTTAAAATTGTAACCCAAATTTTGGAATACACAATAAACTGTCTTATATATTTCATATATATATATATTATTTCACAATTTTTTAGATTTTTGTCGCTTACTTTATCATTCAAATTTATCAACTAATTCTCTAGAATTAAAAATTACAAATTTTAAAATTTATTAACCGATATTGTTCAAAGATCTTTATGAATTTCAAGAGGAATACATATCAATTTTCTGAATTATCATCAGTATCTTATGGCAAGTTATTATAAGAATATAATAATATTTAAGAGTCGTATCACCTTGATTTTATAACAAATCAACCTAAACTTCAAATTTCATACTCAAACCAAATATAATTCATACAACTTATTTTGTTTTCAAAATTTTCAAATATACTTCTATACATACGAAGAACAATTCATACCATTTAATTTTGAATATTTTATAACAAAATAATATTGTCCACTTTATTCCATAAAATCAGGCATTTGTTAATAACAACATATTTCCTACTGAAAATAAAAATGACAATCAAATATATAAAATAAAATTACCCACTTTACCATAATTTGATTAATTAATATATAGAGTTGGGATATACTCAAAATTTAAAAAAATAAAATTACCATGGTTAGTAATTTTAAAATTTTTAGGCGGGATTTTAGTTTCTATTATAATTAAATGCATACATTTATATATATATAAAGAGAGAGAGAGAGAGAGAGAGAGAGAGAGAGATTTGTATCTATATTAATATTTCTAGTAAATTTAAACCATTTTAATGATAATCCACATGCATTAGATCGTGATCAAATATGGAATACTATAATAATATTATTCAATATTTTTTTATATTTTTTTAATAATTTATAAAATGCCTATAGTACCTGTTGTATATTTATACTCAATCATTTTAAAATAAAAAATTATGTTAGGATTATGATGAGTAGAGTATTTATATATGCACATCTATTTATTTTTTTTCCCTCTACTTCATTAATACCCAATACAATAATTTTTTATTCTTAAATTAAAACTGTTAAAATTTGAAAATTGTTATAAGTATTCTAATAAAAAATCAAATTATAAATATCATTAAATCCCTGATATTATATTTAATTTAAAATGGAAGTAGTACATATTATTTAAAAGTTGCAAAGTTTAGTCATGATAGGTAATTGATAAATTATTAATTATTTTATTATTTTAGGAGGTACAAGAAACCCCCTTTCTTGTTTTGAGTTCTTATAGGTTTGGAGGCCGTTCCAAGTAGAAGAAAGTAGATCCGGTTGTATTATCTCGAATTAAGACCGAGCGAGAGGTCTGTTTGACTATTATAATTAATAACAATATATTATGAATATATTGATTTTTTTTTCAGACAATAATTCACACGGTTGTTCGATAAACGACTCGTTATTTTATCCTTCTAGATCTATGTATACTTGTTGGTTAACATTTGTTATACTATTCTGTAATTTTATGAATATTTATCTAGTAGACATTTAAATTTAATTTTATGAGATAACTTTACGCGACTAAAAAAATAATTTATTCCAACTAAACAATGGTAATATATTTTAATAGAAATTCCAACAGATATTCCAATGGTATAGCTTACAATGGAATGATTCCAACAAAAATTCGAATGAAAAATATTTCATTCGAATTGGAATGATTCCAACTATTGGAATTGTCAAAATCTAACTATTGGAATGATTCCAACTATTGGAATTGTCAAAATCTAATAGAATACTCATTTAATGAAATATTTTTGCTGGAGTTTCTATCAAGATCCATTGAAATTGTTATTGTAATTCTATAGGAATATATTTTGGCTGAAATTTCATCATTACTGTCGTTATTTTTAAATTAAATCAATATTGATTGTTATAAGCTTAAGTTTTATTATACAGTTACAATAATTATTCATTCACTATTTTATATGTAAAATATGGATGTCATATATTAGATATATAAAAAATAATAATCAATACAATACATTATACGTAAACATCAAAGAAATATTAAACTCTTAAGTTCTATAAAAAATAAACAATATTGATATTTAATGAGAAAAAAGAAGAAAAGAAAGAAGAATAAAAATGGGTTCATATAACAAAAAAAAAAAAAAAAAAA